GTGTGTCAAATCAAGCGTGTTCACCGTATTTAGGACCCCAGCCAAGCAGTCGGGATGCCAACTTCCAAGTGAAGGTTTTCGTCTCCTCGATCAAGTCATCACTTGGCCTCCCCTCCTCTTCCAACCGCATCCACAACGCGCAAACAATGCACTTCGCGGAAGTCGGTGTGCTAGCATGCGCCACACGTGGCCCAACCATCGGATCCTAGTGCGTGATATAATGGTGCTGAGCGGTTCACTCGTTCTTCCTGCACCAACTACGCAACGTCGAACACGCTCATTGCTCACGCGGTGCTCCCATCAGACATGAGCTAAGCTGCGAAGACAACGATGGTTGAATTTGACGAGCCTCTTTATGACTGTCAACCTGATGGGCCAGGTTTCACAGACATATAGGACTTGAATGGAAGGCTGCGTTATAAACCCTGCCCTTCAGGGCAAGAATAATATCGCGTCTGCGCCACAGGTGGCAGAGATTGGCAAAAGCAACTAAAGCTTTTGCTATGCGGTTCGTAACTTCATCTTCAATCCCAAGGGTGCTAATATAGCTGACCAGGTACTTGAATTTCTGAACGAATTCTAGCAGGTCACCACCAAGCGTTAACGCAGGGTTGTGTCACTGCCAATCTTGGAGAAGCACTTTGAATTTCGATGGAGTAATGCGTAGAACATAACTATACATTTTCGGAAGCAAGCCAGTCCTTAACGGAATCAAGCTCCTCCTTAAGAATATTCAACCCAATTTCTAACCACATCAAGCTGAATCCATCGTCTTGACCAATTGCAAATCAGTACAAGTGTACTCAGAACGTCTGCATCGGTTGGTGCAGCGCTCAGCCAACAAACCACGTGAGGCACAGTGAACGCGAAAACAACACGTGAGCTCATTCACTGTAGGATGGGTGCGGACTAGCACGCGGCATCTATGGGCGGTTGAGGAAGTACTGTAACTTCCACCCACTCACTTACGCGGCATCAAGACACACAACGCAGAAGTGGGCGGCCATCCGCGTGCTCACTGTTACGCGCAGACAACCAGACATGAAATCAACTCTACTACGAGACAGTATCGATTGCACTGGGTAGGGTGAAACACCGTTTGACTGAAGAGAATAACCTAGGGAGTGACCGAAAATTAAGTTGGTTGAGAAAACCGACAGTGACCTTGCGGTATGTTGTTTTAGCTCGGGTTTCAGTCGGAAGTAGGCAATATGAAAATGATGTTATCATTAGATTGCCAATGTCCACTATGTTGTACATAGTACTGGCGAACTCCAGTAAATGGCCAAAAGTAGTTGGTATCAAGTGGATGGCACATTTTGAACACAAAAGTGGATAAGAAAAGCTAGTTTGTGAGGAATCGGAAATCGCCCACCATAGAGTAGCACATCACCATTCCTTGACTGCTCAGTTTGCAAGAATGATTAGCTTCCGAACCGATATATCGTCAATCGACTGACACAGATGGGACACAGTACTACAATTCCGATCTCTGTGTTTCACAGATAAGGCCATGTGCACAGAGAAGGAAATAGACAGTAAGATAATTCCTGGATAGTGGACACCCGAAACCGGTAGTGAAAGCCACGTTTCACAATATGCTGAAATCACATTGAAGATATACAGCGGAATGGATTGGGACGATAAGAATATTACAGGTAGAAGGAACTACCTTTTCCTTTCCGACGGCACTAACCATGGAATAAAACTCGGGATCTGTTCAACGATGGTGTATCTGAAATACACACTTTTCGTAGATAAGATGACTAACGGTGTTCACAAATGTATTCACAATAACTGTGAATATGTGTGTATATGAGATACCGCGAGCGAACTGCACACAACGCTGCTGGAACACCTGAGGCGCATTTCACGGCGACGTCTAATGCTCTACTGTGAGATTCAGCGGTGGTGACGCACCTGTTAGGTACGGTGCATGTAAGGTGGCCAGATTATTGATGAGCCAAACCGAGACGCTACCAGATTTCTTGCACGGCAAACCGAGACATTTAACCTACCCCCGTTTGTTTCTGCATACGTTGATCGTACAATATATTGAAAAGATACATATCTACATTTCTTGCTTCAATGCAATTATAAAAAGCACTTGCGTTATTAGTCAGTACAATGGCTACGCTACTGAAGTTTTAAATAAATAAATGGAATATTCCCGCTAGAAGGAGGCATACAAGTGAAGGCACGACGAAATATACCTACAAACATAGCTGCTTTGGAACAGTAAAAGGTGCGGTTAGAATAAAGTACAACCAAAAGTTTCGTCGTTTACTCACTTAAGGAGTTCGTGGATTAATAGTGGGATCCCAGAACATTATGGCGCTGGTTTGCGAATAAAGCAAGTTTATTACTATTGTGGCAATAGCCAACGGTCGGCATGATTTCGCCATGTTGTAATCCATGATTTCATGAGCATAGGTCTGGGCGCTGCATTAGCATGTCGTGAAGTTGTTCGCAAGGATACACGACACTCTTTTCTTCAGAACTGCATTTCACCACAAGTATTGCTTTCAGTGTTTAACCGCTAAACTGCGTTGTCCAGACTCTACTTCGATTCAGTTTGGAAAAATGTATAGTGCTGCGTCTGAGGCACAAGTTGGTTCATTCTCACAAAATCGGCAACCTAAACTGCAAACGTCTTCTAGGAAGAAGGATGTGGGAGTTTTATCCAGGTTGATCTTGGATGTTCGAATCAGACTGAGGCGGCCTAAAGGAGGGGCGTCCAACACGTGGGCCTCCTGAACCATGCACTCAGATTAATCGACCCTTCGATTTTTCCACAATTTCTCGGCTCATACATACCACCACCTGTGGAATACGTAGTACAGTTTCTGCAGCCATGGATGAGGAGAGATATCACCGTGGTGGAGATATCTCAACGCCATGCAACCAGAGACGTCAAGGGTCTGTATAATTTGCTGTATGCACGAATGATTCGAGTGCTTGGGGTCTTCAGCGGACAATATCGGCGATTGTGCGGAAATCTCATTTTGGCTTACCATATTTTGAGAGCTCCCAACCACAGGTGCCGCCATTTGCTAGAGCTCATTCACTAAGCGCAATTTGAGAGGCCCCTATATCAGGTTGGCACAGTAGCAAACTCGTTTAGAATACCGTCCGAATTGCTTTTCCGTACGAGTTTGCAGAACGTGGAATGCCCTACTGGAATCTGTCATATGTACTCCCACGCTGGCAGAGTTCAAATCTAGGGTTGAGCTCGCAGTCATTTTGCTGCACCATCTTACATGACCCATTACCCATTTATAAACACAAGTGTCTGTAACATTTTTCACTGGCGTTCGAAGCCTACATTTCGTTTCAAGTTTTTTAACTCCTGCATGTGTACACCAGAAGGAGACACGAGGTTTACCAATATCCACTTTGCCGTCGTTCCACATGGATTTACCTTGGATTTACAGTATAAACTAGGTATACTTCAGAGAGTTCACTGTGTAAACCCTCTTTTGCTAACCGTCTTTTATGTTTCGAATTTTCACTATTACCTTCGTACGGTTTTTTATCCGTATAGAAACATTGTTCCATTAGCCACACAGGGATAATTTGTGAGATGATTCATTCAGTAAGTGCATTAGTCCCAGGGAGGCGGAAAACAAATTAGATACTTTTCGTACTTCTTCCTATGGGACCGAGTTGGTCTTGAAATGGGGAAAAAATACTTCTACCTACAGCACCTCAACCTATGTTTGTTTACAGTTCTAATCGCAACTGTTGTCCGCCGATGCAAGCCTACACATGTTTTCATCAAGCAGCTAGTTTTCTTTCATTTCTGGGGCTGGGTGTGTAAATCCAAAAAGACTGACTCTTGCTTTAACTTTCTGCCAGTACGGTGGTTGGTTCATGCTATATAATTAAAGCCATTCGGTTATTCAAATCGGTGCATTCTTTCATATAAGTGATTGGGAACACCCTTGGGACTGTATAAGATAATTACTAGTTATTGTATTGGTACTGATGAGACAATATAAAATGCGTGCATTTACCAGTGATCGTCTTCTCATTACGGTTCACTTCCTCTTACTGTGCCATAAACAAATCGTCGAATACGCTCATTGCTCACGCTGTGTTCCCACCAGATATGTGCCAAACTGCGAAGGCACCGGTGGTCCAACGTAATTAGCCTCTTTATGTCTGCCGATCTAATGGGCCAGGTTTCACAACCGTACAGCATGGTCGAACGTACGGCTGCATTGTACGCTCTACCTTTCAAGGAGAGAGTGATGTCGCGCGGGCACCATAGGTAACGAAGATTAGCAAAAGCGCCTCGAGCTTTTGCTATACGGTTTGTGATCTCGTCTTCAATTCCACAGGCGCTGATATAAGGGTTTCGCAGCCAGCATCAGTTCTCGTACCCAGATAGTTTGTTCAGATTAGGGATATTCTTGCTATACTATCTGCGTCTTCGTGATGATTTGTTTCTCACTTATCGCATCTTAACTGGATGGATCGGCCTAAATCTTGCCTCTTGCTACTTTACTCCACTAAACTACCATATCTTCGCGGGAATCCCATGAAGTCTCACAACCTCCGATCCAATCAAGTTCAGGCTGATATTCGTTTGTCATGTAAATGAATTGATTATTTGAGCGCGCTGCATGAGGACATTGTACCGTCACTGCGGTGATGAGTTCAGACATCTTGGGGACGCCCTTAACATGCAATTTGGAATCTTCCTTTTTGCTCCTTAGTTCCTCTGATTGTCCTACTCGTTACTAACCTCATTCTTACCTTCCAGTGACACGTTTGTTTTACTACTTCACCCTTCCTTTTCTTATTGCACTTCGTCGGCACAGTCTAGGCTACGATCGTTAAGCACGTAGATTTTGATTGTTTGACCATGGCATGATCGGTACTTGCTAATTTGTGTCATATTTTGGATCAATGACGCACTTAAACTGGAACGATCTTGGGCGCTCCTATTGTTCCTCTCCCATTGGAAATTATGCATTTCCTTTTGCTTTTTTAGCTTTTCACCTCTATTAACACCTACGTTCGGATTGGAAACAGAAGACATCGTAACCCTCGACCGGACGCATATCACAATTCTCTTGCATTTTCTCATCACATAAGAATAGCCCTTTCGGATTTTGATTTTTGTTTCTTATGTTTGTGAGCAAAATGACTGCTCATACTTTGAACCGATTGTCATTCCCACTAATTCAAAGATCAATACGGACGGTTAAGCCAAATATCGTCGTACCCACATTATTTGACAGAACCAGATTTCGTCTCGGAGGTGGCAATCTTCGTTATCCCATGGGGCAATTACATGCAGCCGGCGAGAATATGTTTGCGGTTTGTGCGGAATATCCTGTCTTCGAAGATTTTGTGCAACGTCTGAATTTGCCGGACAACTTTCAATCATGGTTCTCATTAACTACGCTACATATATGGATGTGCTTGGTGCGGTTAAGGCAAGAAGGTGTGGAAGGCCAATTGTTAAAGAGAACATTTGTCAATGTAAGTTGCATTCTGCTCATTAGGACTACAGCTTTTTTGGTTAGATTTGAGGTCGAGAATGCGCACCTTCAAAATTCTGAGAAAGATTCATTCGCAGGTTTCGGTCTTTCGGATGCAGTTTTTCGGTGCAATCTTTGCATATGATGAGGGGTTTTTGGCCCACTCAGATGCGCTTTTGTCCGCAGCTCTATGGCGCAACTTGTTCCTGTCCTCTTCGTCTGTTACGATGGAGCAGCTGGAGTTGGCGCTGAAATACGTGAGAAAAAATCTCGCCCACCTCGATGACATACCATCACCGACCATATTACGCTTCGGAACACCCACTTTCCTTTCCCTAACTGATGATAAAGTAGATCCCCGTTTTGCAACTGAACGCCTCCGTTATTGTGTTACTTGGCCCAGTTTTATTAAATAGTATTTTCCATCAGGATACCCAACCCCATGGGTCTACTATATCGGGTGTTTTTAGTGGATATCGGAATTGCATCCATCGTGTCAAGGGACCAAACTTGACAGAAACAGGGTTATTTTAGGCTCTTGATGTGCACCAAAAATGCGTACTGATATTTTACAAGCCTGTGCAATGTGTACCGTCAGGCATCATAGAGTAAAATTTGTCTACTTCGCAACTTTCGACTCGTTCGCCTGCGACGAGTGAAGGCTATATCGCTGTATCCCAGGCCGTATGTACCATGTGATGATTACGTGTCGTAGAAGCATCGTCACGAAATTCTGACCTAATATTGTCTCATTTGTGGACGTAACTGAAAACACAGAAAGGGTCTGATGAACAACTGCGCGTGTCATTGAAAATGAATCTTACGCATAGCACAGTACTTGTTATCAATTTCACCCCGGTCCTTCACCGATTGTCGTATCTCTACCATTCCTAACTTGTTCGCGTTAATGCAGAGTAATACGCAATCACTACAAACTACTCCACTGAATCACCAGCGTCACGTTGATTTTAAGGCCTTTTTGCGACAATACACTAAGACTACCAAGGGCTCTCTGGTATTTAATCTCATTTCGTTCTCTCAATTGAAGAATATCGTGGCTAGTCGTCTCGTTCTGATTTTTAGGCCTTTGCGGGAGTAGTAGTTTTCTCTGACTGGTGCAAATACAGAGAAAGCGCTAGTTTTCTCACTATATACGACGCCTTTGGACCACGGTTTTTAACTGTCATATGTGTGTTGGAATTGAGGCCTCGACATATTACTAGAGCTCACTTTTTGTATACATTAATCTGAGATACTTGTGGCGTCGTCGCGATGCCAGTTCCAAGTATACAAGTCTTCATCTGTTGGGTCTTGTTGTGCAACTATGAGACTAGACATATTTGCTCGGAAGATGTGAAACCATTGTCTGCCTTTGACAACAACAGTCGCTTGCGAATGGTTGCTGGTGTGTAGCGGCGGCACGATGTAAGTACCGCGGAGGTAAGAAGCCAGTGACTTGGAGCTAACGGTTCCTGTTTACATGGCATTATTCTCCCATGAGGTTCGCGTTGGCTCGGCCACGTATTGCACATGCCAGCCCATCATCTTCACCTTCGTACATTAAATACAAATTCTATATACGACCGAAAAAGTGTCAGCACGGACAGCTGATGTGATGGGAAGAAGGCTTGCAGAATTCCGCTCCTTGTTTGACATCAGTTAGATTTGTCCAACTATCCGTTTGTAAATCACGTGACGCGGAATCCCAATGGCTAGAAGCTTTGGGTGCTGTGGCTCTCAATAGAAATCAGTTGTGCCAATGCTGTTCTGTATTAGAGTTTTATCTACTATCTACTTTTAAACAGCGGAAAACTCAAGACATTGTGTGAGCGTGAACCCTTAATTAAGAACCACTTCCCCTTGCTCTGCCGTTTTCTCGGTATTTATTCGTTCTGTTTCCACCATTATTCTGAGTGCAAGTTTGCATTTAAACTGATGAGCATTAGGAATTCTTTGACTTTGAAGACGGTGTACGGACCCACGTCGCAACCACTGAAGACGTTGGTGGATGCTACTTCACGCATTTCTGCACATAGACTGCAGACATAGTGCAGATCTGGCGAAAACACTTCGACTATCTCTTGAACATCTGTTCAGAGCTTGGTTTGTATATATTCCACGGGCTGCAAGAACAAGAGCTGAAGACGTCTTTCAGGCACACCGAAAGTGGATGAAACCCTGAGACCACTTCTCCGCTGCAAAACGGCATGAGCTCCAGTGTCGACGGAATACCGTCAGAAGTGTGGAAACACAGTGTACCCACGTTGGTAAATGCGCTGCGCCAGCTAGTGCAACACGTGTGGTTTGAAGAGGTGGTGTCAGATGACTTGAAGGATGCCCTTGTGTTACCACTGTATAGGAGTAAACGGAGCAAGCAATGCTGCACGTATTATGGTGGCATCAACTTGTTGGGTTGTGTGGGCAAGGTAATCGCCCGAATCCTACTCAACCGCCTCGTCACTCATATCGAACCGAACGTGGCAGAAGAGAAATGCGGATTTCGCTCGGGCCGCAATACCACAAATATAGTGTTTGGGGGGCCGTTAGTTGCAAGTGAAATGTCGAAAGCGATACCAACCAATGCACTCTCTGTTTGTAGATTTCACCAAAGCATTTGGCACGGTGAACTGCCATGCACTGTGGATGGCGTTGGGCAAGTTTGGTTGTCCGAATAAGTTTGTAAGTTCAGTTGAATGTCTGCACAGTGGTGTGCGGGCGAGAGTGCAGCTCTGTGGACACTGCTCGGATGACAGTTGTTTTCTCTAGCATGAAGCAAGATTGTGCCTTGGCCTCTGCAGTGTTTAATATCTACCTTCATGCCACGCTGTCCTGTACTTTTGATGCTACTTTTGATTACGGTGTCCGTGTGGAGCAATGTATTGATGGTGGATTGCTGAACATCCCTCGTTTCGCGGCGAGAACCCTAGTGTGTAAGACAAGCATCAAGATATTGCTGTTTGCCGACGACCGTGTGTTGTTTGCGCACGGCGCGGATGTATTGCGGCACATGACTTGGGCTTTCGCATCGACAGCGGCCAAATTCGGGCTCACTATCAACACAAGCAAAATTCTTTGTTTTTTTTCCAACGTTCTCTAGGAATGGAGTCCTTGGGCCTGCCCCAAATCTGGATTGCTGATGCCGTGTTGGAGACAGTATCGAAACTTCGTTACCTTACTGATCTGCAGATGACTAACGAGCTACGCATCCAACTGCTGCATATAACAAACTGGAGAAACGTGTGTGGAGCAACCATTCATTAAGCTGATGGTATAAAAGGCGATGGTTCTGTCGGTTCTATACGGCAGCAAAACGTGGACGATGCACCGTACGGACGTTAGAAAGTTGGAGCGTTTTCATCAACGGGGTCTGCGACAGATTCTGCGCATCGATTGGTGCGATGGTATTGCAGATACGGAAGTGCTGTGCTGCAATGGTATGTATACAGTGAACTGCCTTGTTCTTTTGTGGCACCTGAGGTGGCTGGGGTGTACCAGCCTTATGAATTTGATGCGAATGCCGAAACAGCTGTTGTCTGGTCAACTTGGTGCACGGAAGCGGCACGTGGGAAAACCGAAGCTACGTTACCAGGACATGCTCATGGTTTTTCACAAACTAATGTTGATTACAGGCGTTGGGAATCTAAGGCAGTTTATCTTCGCAAATGGCGTGAGGTGATCGAGATGGCGGTTGTTTAGGTGCAGGGGAAATCAATATTGCGTGCGGAAGAGAAAAGTCAGACAAGGAGTCGATATGCGCCGATGGACCCTAGCTCATTGACGTGCGCATTGTGCTGTATCACATGCGGCCGTGAGTACCTGAACCAAACTGGTCTTGTAAAGCACTAGCGTGCCCACTTGTGTCCAGCATCCAAAAGACGACGAGTCGGCTTATTATCTAAGCATAATCAGCGCAGTAATTGGTACGTACGCTTCCGTTCGATTTACCAATCTAGGTCAATTAGGCGATTGATGTGGTAAGTGTGTTATATTCTCGTTTCAGTTGGTCTGTATGTCCACTGATTGAGATTTTTGCATTTCACTGGTTAGTTGTTGATAACTCCGGTGTAGCTCCGCTTGATGTGAATGTTGGTAGGGTACCCACCTATCTGTTACACTTCTCGTCTATACTTTTCCCAGGATACTGAAATGTTGCTAAAGATACAGGGTGCATTGTCCTCGTGACCGTTCTATGCTCAAAGTATGATTCCATCGAGTGCCCAACCACCGCCTTGTGTAAGCGTGGTACGCCTGATTTCCCAACTAAACATAAAGGCTGCTGTGCATATTGAATGAGTATGGACTGACCCGGTTGATGAAACGTGACTCCTATCCACATGCCACCATGTGTTATTCCTTCGGGTTTACACTGGATATGGGGTGTGTGGGTGGCGCAGCACAAGCCACCCATGGTCCTTGTGTAAGCGCAGGGGTCCTGTGATTGTCCGTACCTCGTTTTGGTGCCGAATGTTTGCAGTTACTGGTATCGAACTTATTTGTCAGCTAATCCAACATGTTGATCGTTACGGCGATTGAGCACCAGTATACAGGACAGGACGAAATCAAGGAACGAAGCAAGCTTTCGCTTAACAAGCGTCCCGTTTTGTGTGCAGTAAGCGCACAGAGCCCCCATCACCTCGATTTGCTAGTAGATCTGTGCGTTTATAGTGGATAAAGAGAGGAGTAAGAGTGAAACATCCACAACACTAACAAAGTTGCATGTGATACTAGCGCGTGGTTAAAGGCAGTCATGAATTCTCACTGGAGTACTGGGGATAGGACCTGCCAATTTTTGTTCATGCATCGCTCGAAATCATTTACCATCTATTAATGATAGGCACTACCCGATATGAGAAGAACTTAGCTCAGTAGTCCCCTTAATAGTTTACATGCCATTTCGATCGGTGGCGGCTCGCAAAGGAAGTTGTTGCTCTGGGGGCAAGCCCTTTTCTTTGCACGTTCATAACATGCATGACAGTGGAGGATGAGCAGCGCTATATAGCAGTTAGATAGCAGTCATGGCGGTCCACTGCTTTCGCTCACTTCTCAATGGCTTAAGTTACTGACTCACAAGTGTAAACTCGTGGGTTCGAATCCCATATGATTCGGCAGGTGCGTACTACTGACGTGTCCCAATAGGATGGAACGGCCGTCTAGCTCTTTCCTGGGTGTGTGGTGATTGTCTGCCTGAGTCTAGCTGCGGCGAATTTTCCCAAAAAATCAAATAAATCCCCTTCCACCTACAACTTAGCTCTTATATCGAGTATGGAACTGCATCTGTTTTAGTCAAGTGGTCTAACGCAGCTGGATCAAAGGGATCAGTGGACCTGAGAGCCTTTATGATTTGGAATGTGTCTATTAGGTCCTTTCTCAATTTTCGTCTCCCCATTGAGAATAATCCTAAGTTAGTTACCAGATCTTCATTCGGAACCCACGCTAGTTTTTTACCGTTCTAGTAGCCAGTCTCTGCAGATTCTCAATACAATTGATATTCTTTTGCAGGTAGGGTGGCCAGACCTGAACGCAGTATTTCAAATGTGGTCTGACTACTGTTTTATACAAAGGGAGAAATACCTCTGATTTGACGCAACTCAGAGCTCTTCTGAGTCCAAATAATTCCTGCCATGTTTTGT